CTTATACACATCTAGATGTGTATAAGAGACAGGTATGGGCGTATTGGGGGCCGCTATGGGGGTGTTGGTGGTTATTCGGGGTTCTGGACCCCTCCCCCCAAAACAAAAAAAAAAACAAAAAAAAAAACAAAAAAAAAAACAAAAAAAAACACATTTTTTTTTTTTTTGGCGGGGTGCCGACGATCCCCGACCGGTAGGTGCCGACCAGCCGACCGGTCGGCGGTTCGGCAGCCGACTAGTCAAGGGCCGCCGACCGTCGGCGTGTGCAACACTGTATATTGCCACATAACTATGCACTAAAAGAGCGCACTTTGTGAAACAAAAGGCAAAATTTAAAAATTAAAAAACAAGACAAACATGAAGGGCACACTGAAACCATTCATTTTTCTCATTCTTCTTTTGACTCCCCCTTCACTGTGCCTTTCACATACAAGGCTCGCCATGTTGATGAAGTTGCGCGCGAGGTGCCCCATCCCCGTGTGCCATAACAGCCCACTTGTACACTGTGAGAAAGAGGCAGAGTGAAGGCGGAGGGGATAAACACAGGGAGGAGAGATGGAGAGCAGACAAACAAAGAACGATTAAGGGATAGTAAGGGAAAGTATGGAGAGTGGAGTGAAGATCAAGGCAAAGGATGATAAGAAAAGGCTCAAGAATGAGTCTGTCCTTGACGACAGAGAGGACATACATTGTAAGGATGAGCTGGATGAACACATGGAAGACCTAGCTGAGCATTCCCAGTGCAACAATTGCCACGACGGCTGGCATTGAGCATGCCCACCATACACCCCCGACAAATGGCGTGTCAATTGCAGGCCAAAATGAAGGAAGAACGGTCACCACAAAAGAGCATGCATTCAGTATAGCGCCCGTGGACGCAAAATGGACATACAGTGTCCGGATGCAGAGGGTCCCTGCAATCAGGAACGGTGGGACAGTCCTCTGCACACATGGATGCAGAAACCATGTCATTGTAGTGATTGTGACAGAGATGATGGAGACTACAGCCGAGTGTAACAGTGTTTGTGGCTGTGCAAAGGAGAAGGTCACAGAGTGTTGGTACATTGTCCTGCTGCAGCACGGGGCCAGAGGAATGATCTTTGACATAAAAGAGATTGCGGACGGTTTGTTGTGGCAAGAAAACAGCACCATTTTGTAAGAAACAGTGACATCAGTCACAGCATGGACCATGGTGCCGTTGTCCCACAGCTCCCAGTGGTCAGAGGCATGTACAATGGCCATGTAATGGCCAGGGCCGTTGTCAACAGCAAAAGGAGGCCGGGAATCCCTCCACATCTCAACCTGGTGTACTGGGGCCATTACCCAGACTCGGCTTGGCTGGAAACCGGGTCCAGTGTCCTGTTGGGCATAATTCTGAAAAAAGGAAAGCTGGACAAAGAAAGGAACAATAGTCCCCCTAGGTTACGCTAAAGAACCGAAAGCCACGACACCCTGCCAGTATTCTCGCCGAGCTAATCATAACCATGCCTCTGGTTTCCTTCTCCGTTCTTATTCTGCCTAGCCTCTCCCTTCCCCATTCTCTAGCCTGAACACTTTTCTTAAACCCTAAACCCTACGGCTATTGCTCTTCTTTCCTTCTCTGTCCCTGCCTCGTCCCTCCCGCCTCCACTGGAATGCGAGGTCTGAGGCCTGAATGATTGCCACTTAGCCATCCCCCAGAATCCTGTGGGCAAACCTGGCTTTCAGTTCCTGTTCCTGTCCCAGTCGCTGTCTGATCTGCCGCTACGCTATTTTCCACTGTGGCTGTCGTGGCCCAGTACCAAGGTGGCCTTTTTCCTGAGGAAATGACTTCGGCGCCATCTGTCCCCAGAGGGTCCTGACTATTTCCCATATTCTCTCCAACTCTCGCCATGTCAACAGGCCATGCTCCATTGTGTTACATGCCCAGTTGGGCGATGTACATACAAACCGAGGATCCGCAATGCGATAAAAAGGACTGAATGGACAGTGCAGTGCAAGTGGGATCTCAACAAGCAATGTGCATTCCGATACATACAAAATGGTGCTTTATAGCGCAGGGAAGACTTTAGATACAAGTCCTGACCTGACCCGGACTGACCTCTTTCACGTAGTACAAGATAGCGAAGCAGTGTGCTAGAATACTAATGACTACCCAAATCAATGTTTCAACGCAGACCAAACATACATCATGCTCATCACAAAGTGTGAAGGGGCCTGGCGCTATACACAGGAATGAGGCGCCAGGTCCAGACATACACAGACGAAGAGGAAGGGATCAGACGAAGAAGAGGAAGGGGGAGATGGGAAAGTCGTCAACACCAAGTCTCGTTACAAGTCCCAAATAATCCCTCTTCAAAATGTCTGAAGTCCCATGTCGAGTCTGGGTCCAATGTCACCTCTCTCTCTCTCTCTCTCTCTCTCTCTCTCTCTCTCTCTCTCTCTCTCTCTCTCTCTCTCTCTCTCTCTCTCTCTCTCTCTCTCTCTCTCTCTCTCTCTCTCTCGTAGTCTGCTGATGCAGTGACGTCAGATCGCGAGAGGGTGAGAGGGAGATGAGAGACTGAGAAGAGGAAGAAGAAGAACTCTCTCTCTCTCTCTCTCTTGTATGCCAGGTACTAACCTGTGAAGATGGCGCTGTGCTGCAGGTACCTCAAAGACGAAGCTGGAGCAACGGCGCTTGCAGGTAAGTATCCCTGGCCTCCGCCCAATCTCTCTCTCTCTCTAGTCCTACTCTAGCTATGGCGCCCAGCGCTGAAGACTACAACTAGCCTTACTAGCGCCCAGCGCTGAAGACTACTGCTAACGCTACAACTACTCCTGCAGCGCTCCTCCAGAGTGCTGCTGCCGAATCCTGAAGACTACTGACTGCCTCCTGCCTCCACGTGAGGTGCCTGGGAAGTACCTAGGAGCTACCTCCCAACTACCTGCAGCCTGCAGGGCGGGCCAGTCTTATATAGTGCTGGCCCGTCCAGGAGGCTGCTCTTGCCAATGCCAAAATGTGCCAGACCCTGGGGTTGAAGCTCAAACAAAGGTTGTCTTGAAAATAGGCCAAAAATGGCCTGAGCTAAAACCCTGGTCTGGTGCCTGAGTTTCAGGGCAGGTCAAACTGATGAGGGCCTGAAAATGGCCCTCAGTTTCAGGGTGAAAATACTCAGGGCCGGAAAGGCCCTGATTTAGCCTGAAACGACACAGAGCCTGTAGGCCCTCGTTTTCAGGCTTTCAGGCTGAAACGACATGGGGCCTGTAGGCCCTTGTTTTCAGGCTTGTGGCCTGAAAACAACACGGGGTCTGTAGGCCCTCGTTTTCAGGCTTTCAGGCCGAAAATGACACGGGCCTGAAAATGGCCCGTGCAGCCTGTTGCAGGTGCAGCATGTAACAATTGTTTCTGCTGTGCCCTCCTGGCAGACCACGCAGAGGGCGTTGGAGGGATCCCTCCTTGATCAGCTTCGCCTTTCGTATAACCAGGCGTTTACCGGTACAGCCACAAGTGCTATTAGCCACCGCATGCTCCTGACTCTGCCCACTCTTATCCTGTTGATTAGTGTCCATGGTATTGTGCATAGTTTCTCCACGGGGACTCCCTCTCTATTTTCCCAACGCTTCGAGAGTGCTGCCTTCAGGGGGTAGTTCCGCTTTTTCAGTCGGTAGCCGATTCGAGTTGTGTAATTGAGTATGTTGATCCTTCTAGCTACTCCCAACCTCCCTCTGAGATTCCACGCCCACTCCGCTGGGCCTATTTCCAGGTCTTCTACTGGGGTGGTTGGGCTAAATAGCGTGAAGTCCTCTGTTTCCACTACTCACACTTTTTGTACGTGTGGTAGTTGAATAGCAACTGGAGTCTTGGATCCCTGATCCAGGATGCTGGCGGTGCTTCCCGGATTCGTGATGTTATAGATGTCAGCATTCAACCACTCTTTTCTTGCAGGTTCTTGGCTCCAGATGCAAAATGCTTCTTCAGCATTGCTGTCCACTCCTGTGGTATGGATATGAGGATGTCGTTGCGGTTCTCAGTTAACCTGTGGCAGCCCTTCAGTTCTGCTCTGAGCTCCCTCGCAGTCTTCCATTGTTGTTTGACCCCTTGCCCAAAGGTGTTTCATCTGCCAGACTCCGCGCTCTACCCACGTGTCCCATTTTGTGTCTTTTTTGCGTAAGGGTGAGGGGTTTCCCCTGTATGTCCTTGATTGCTACTGTACAAACAGAGGGATCCGGCAGGCATCCGTAACTACAGTCCGATCAGGCTCCTAACACTGACGCACAAGATAGTGGCTAAAGCACTAGCTAATAGGCTTAGAGGGGTCACCGTGGGTTGCTTCCATTTGGATCAGTCCGGGTTTATACCAGGAAGATTCATTCTGGACAATGTCATGACATTGACAGAGTCAGTACGCTATATTAGGGACAAAAGAATGAACACAGCAATACTCTTTTTCGACTTTGAAAAAGCATACGACCAAGTGAATTGGGACTTCCTTCAACAGTGTATGGAAAAGATGGGAGTGAGACCGAACTTCCGAAAGTGGATTAGGGTCCTATACAACGACGCGCACAGGCAGGTCCAAATCAACGGCCATCTATCAGCAAAGTACAAATGTCGCGCTCGGTCACCTCATACCTGACGAAGGACCCCTCAATCCAGCGGCTTATTACTGTTCCCGATCAGTAGGGGAGGCTAGTGCAGCTTCCCACAACTCTGCTGTTCACAAAGGACCTGACGGTGTTAATCAGGGCATCCGACGACTCCTTTCAGGCGCTGACAAGAGCGATGGAGGTCTTCCAACTTGCATCAGAAATGAAAATTAACTCGTCAAGGACCGTGGGCTGGTGGCTGACAAGCCAGGAAGGAGAAGGGTTAGACCCCGCCATCAGCCCGGTGGGCCTACAATGGGCGACAGCACAAATCCCACTTGGGAGTCAAGATAAGGAAGCAGGCCCGCATCACTCGATGGCAACGGAGCTGATGACCAAGATCCTCGCAAAATTGGGAGCTTGGTCCACGATTTACACCCCAGTGTTTGGAAGAGCTCTCATCTTAAATGCGCCCATTTTTTCAATGCTGTGGTATGCGAGGACAATCTGGAGCCCCCCAAAGGACGCACATGCAACTCACTACCGATAAACGGATCAGGAGTTCAAATCCTGTTGGCGAGAGCAGTGTTGGGGAGTACCCGCTTTTCGTAACAACAAAAGAAAAGCACAGTCCACTGGACAGTGTTGCTGCACACCCAGAAAGCCAAAGTGAAAAACTCATTTTGAAGATGTGGTTTGTTTAAGGTTTTTTTTTTTTTTTTTTTTTGGCAAGTGTGTGCTCTTTTGAAACCGTTATAGAACTGCTGAGCAATGCTTCTAGGCTTCTAGCACGTTTTCGTGATACTTTCTTGAAACGGTTAGAGAATCGCTGCCATCTATAGCCATCATGATTCGGTGTTCCAATAAGAAATATGGGTGTATTTTTCTTGGGATCATAAAATGCAAAACAATACACGCAGAGTGACCAAAAAAAGAAAAAAAAACAGATACGCGCTGAGTAAGTGGAGATTCTGAAGAACCAAAAAAAAAGATGTCCCAAATGACGAAAAATATAAAATAAAATAAGAATTATAAGATCAAAAAGTTGAAAACCTGTTTCGACTTTCAAGTGATGGTGCCGATTAGCTTCCTGAAAAGTACTTTGCTCACTCAGCGACATCCATACCTCCGCAGCCTCCACTCCATCCTTCTGGGCAGTGAAGCTGTAATCCTTCTCTCAACTTCCACCCTTGCTCCTCCCTCCTTTTCAGTCCTTGCCTCGACTTCCTTACTTGTTCCTTCCTTCATTTCAAAACTACACTTAACCCAATCTGGCATGCAACCAACATCTTCTTCCCCTCCACGACTGATAACACTGCCTCCCCCACCACCTTCTCTTCTCCTGATTTTTGGTAATCAGAAACGATTAGCCCAAGTCCAATCCGCTTGTGGCTGCCTCCCCCCTTCTAAACAACACGTATGAGAACGACGCTGTCCCCACGAATGAACACTTGTTTCAAGTGACGCCGTCGATGCTCCAGCTTGCGAAAGTACTTCACTCTCTGCTCCGTCCGTACCTCCACCTCATCTTCTTTATTAGCACCAAAGCTGCCATCCTTCTCAGCTTCCACCTCATTTTTCGAAGTCCTTCGGACTGATCTGTCATCCTTCGATGGCCCGTCCTCAGTAACCTCTTCTCCCCCTCTACTATCACGCGCTCCCTCCTGCTGCCTTTTGTGGCTAGTGCGCTCTTCCACCTCTTTTTCACCCACCTCTATCTCACTAAACTTTTCTCCCTCTGCTTCGCTACGCGCTCCCTCCTTCTGCCTTTCGTACTCTTGCACCTGCTCCCAATCACCTTCCCCTCCACTGCCACTTTCCTTCTCACACCCCATTGATGAGTCAAGAAGTGAATTACCCAATTTACCCTCAGTGCTATCCCAGAGTGCACAGACATCATCGATGCTGCAGATGGGGAGCTCATGTTCAGGTTGCTCCGGCAGAGGGGAGAGGTCTGCCTGCGCAGGAACATTTGCCTTGTCCTTTTCGGCAGCGTCGGGCTGTGGCTTTGGTTTCACGCGGACACGAACCGTGACTGTCCGCGGCACATGGGTCAAAACATGGTATGTTTCATCGACATCCCTCAACACCATATCCATATGCTTGTCAACTGCCTCTAGAAACCCAATGCAGGAGCCGCGTATGCCTTTAGCATGCCTCGTCCACACCTGGACTCTCCCTTTGTCTGAGTAACACCGTGCCAGCATCTCTAGCGGTCCACCCTTCATTTTGTCAGCAATTGCATCAAGAACCTTGGCCTGTTTTGCAGCTTTTTTGGCCAGCAAATATGCATGGCTTGACTGGTGTGCCTTTGCACGAGCCTGTGCCTGCAAACTTTCCTTGCTCCGAGCATCAGTCGCACGATGAGGACGACAAGGAGCAATGTCCCCATCTGTCTTGATCTCCTGAGGGAGGAGGTGTTTACACTTTTGCAGGTTGTCTAGTGGGTGTGCTTGTGGGTTGGGAGGCTGCAGCCCAGGGGTCATCAAGGCTTTCAGTGCGTCAAACTCTGGGGAGAAGAAATCCAGTGCTGGGTCATCCAACACATTATTTGCAACCTCTCTACGTGCCCTTCCCCTACCCTTGTCATCTACCAACTTTCCTCTTCCCAATGCTTCTTGCGCCACCATTGGCTGTCTCACTTGTGCCATTGGCTGTCTCACTTCCACCTCTTCGTCTTTGCTCTGTTCATTCCCTTCCCTGTCTTTCCTTCTCTGTCTCTCCTCCAACTTCTTAACTTTTTCATCTTTCTCGCTCCTCTCATGTCTTATTCTCACTTTATCCATGCTCCCACCTATCAGCTCCTGTTCTCCTCTCCTTGCCCTTGTTCCTCTCCCCTTATCAGTTTCATCCTCCCCATTCCTCTCATACCTCCTTTCTCTCCTATCCTTATCCCTGTCACCTCCATCATCCATATCATCCCTCTCATACCTGCTAGCTTTCTTCTCCTTCTCCTTCTCCCTCTCCTTGTCCCTGTCACTCCCTTCTTCCTTTACCTTCTTCCAATCCATGTCCTTGCCTCTCTCATTCCTCTCACACCTTTGATCCCGCCTCCGTGCCCTCTCCCTCTCCCTATCATCCATCCCATCCCTCTCATCCCTTCCTCGCATCCCCTCCTTGTCAACGTTTCTCCTACCCTTGTCTTCCCTTTTATCCCATCCGTCCCTCCTCCATGTCCTCTCCCTGTCCATATCATCCCTCTCACTCCTTTTGTCCCGTCTTTGCTTCCAATGCTTGCCCATGTCTCTCCCATCCCTGTCATCCCTTTCATTCCTGCTATCCCTGTCATCCCTGCAATCCCTCCTCCGTCTTGTCTCCTCATCCCTTTCATCAATCTCAGTCCTGTCCCTTCTTTGCCTCCACTCCTTATCCTCATCTTTCTCGTTCCTCTCATTCCTCTGATCGCTTTCATCCCTCCTCAATCTCCTCTCCTTGTCCCTCTCATCCCTCTCCCTCTCTCTATCCCTCTCCTCACTTCGCTCTTTGTGACCGATCCAGTCATATTCCTTCCCTCTCTCCATGTTTCTGTCACCACCCACCGATCTCCTAATGTCCTTAAGGTCTCGTGCTCTCCCCAAGCCTCTGTCATCTTCCTTTCCTCTCCATGTGTCTCTGTTACCTCTTTCCGCTCTCCCAGTCCCTCTGTCTTCTCCCTTTTCTCTCCCTGCACCACACTCACTCTTTTCTGTGCTGATCGCCCTGTCATATCTACTCTCTTTGCCCATATCCCGGTGATCTCTCCTCACCCCAGCCATGTCTCTGTTGTGTTTCCTCAATCTTATCAGACCTGTTTCACCTTCTCTCAGTCTCTCCCCTACCTCTGCTATACACTCCTCTGTTCAATCTCATTTGCAGATTTCTTTCACTCCATAGGCAGGCAGCTCCCCGCCATTGCTTCCATACCTCCTTCCCTCTCTTTACCTCCTCTACTTGACGCTTTTCTTCCCCTCACTTCTTCATCCTCCTCTGCAGCGTGAAAAAAAAGCACAAAAAAAAAAGGTGACAAGAGAACAAAGAAGATGAGAACCTTGCAACATCACAAAGACATCAACGCTTCAGGAGGGCCCTTCAGAGCTTCTCCAAAATTGAATTGCATTCATGGATGATTCACCTTCTTTCCCCAGCACCGAATTCCACACATGTTCGTTTTCCTTCCGGAAATTTGACATATGAAAAAAAATGAAAACCTTCAAAAGAAGCCAAAGCAAAGTCTGATTTCAGATTTCGGGCATTTCATGAACGAACTTGCTTTCTTAACTCAGTCTTTCCGACTCTTCCGTGATTCTTCACAGTACTTTCTTGCCACTTTCCATGCTCCTTGCTGGCAATTGAATCTTCGGGTACTCGCACCCAGGACCCCAGGATGTACTCTGGCAGCAAAACGGCTAAATTCAGTCCAGAAAATTGTAGTGCAAGTGCAGTCTTGTGGTATGATGTGGTTTTCTTCTGTACCCTTTGCACTTGCGTTGTTTGCGATGGAATCCCATGCCACAAGGGTGGGACAAAAACTGCTTTGGTACAAAGCATTGAGTGCAAAATGCTGAAATAGAGGTCTGGGTAGTCCGGCCAAACCTTTTCGGACTGAACTAAGTACGCCAGCCAAACGACAGGCAGTCACATTCTTTAACATTATGCACGTACCATTTTGCCGTCGATCGTCTCTGACAGAGGCTTTTCTTTTCTTTTCTTTTCTTTTCTTTTCGTTTTTCTTTTTCTTGGGAGTTTTTTTGGACGACCTCTCGATATGTGTGCCAACCTTGCACAGGGGCCATGCTAATATTCTCTGCATCGTTCCAATTTTAACGGATGTCCGGAGGGCTGATAGAGGCGTTGAGCAACACGGTACCACTATAAGCAGAAATCTCTTACCTTTCACTTGCATCTACAGGCCAGCCTAGATCTGAACTCCTTTATGATGCTACAGGGTCTGAATACACCCCATAGCCTACATGTCGACAATGGGGTGTGCTGTACTCAAAGTTCAAACATAGGGAGTGTTGTCCTCCAATACAAATAGATGTTCCATATGTGAGTTGGAAAGGGTGATAATCATTTTCAGAGTTGATTTGATGAGGCTCTGAAAGGTGAGACTCGTTTTGCCCATCCTTTGCCTGTTTCAATCACCCAATAACCATTCTCACAGATGCACTCAAGTTGGAACGGCTCCTTCAGACCTAACCTGCCGAGCCAACGAAGCCCCACACCGGACTAGTTCTTGGCAGAGCCCACAATGGGAAAATCCGAGTCGATGTGGCTACTGCTCTGGGTTATAGGAGGCTTCCAGGATAATTGTGCTTTAAAAGGAGTAATGGGTGTGGTGTGGTCACTGTGGTGTTGATCTTGACAGGGCTCTGGAGGGTCAGACTCATTTTGTCTGTTTATGGCATTATGCACATGGTGATCACATAATGAGCTTTTTCGGAAACTTCCCACACTTTCGGCAAGTACAATCAGCTGGTGTAGTAGTACGATGTGGGCATCCATGAAAGGGTAAACCCCTCAAAAATTATTAAAACAAGCTGAACATCAGCGACAACCAACCGGTCCACTTCCAACCAGCCAACGAGGGGGCACGAGTCATAGGGTCACTGCCCCCTCACAACAGCCCAAGTTTCTTCTTTGTCTCCTCCTCCTCATCCTCAACTACAGTTTCTCCATATCAGTTTCGTTAACTTTCTATGGCTTGGAATTCCGCTTCTATAGAGCCCCTACCTGCCCAATTCAGCTCAGGATTGCTGGAGTTGCCGCAGATAAACCTCTTGCCCATCGTCCATGACATCGCACGGATTATACTTTTCAATTTTTAACAGTGCCCTACTCAGGAATGATTCTACTGCACTGTAATGACCTGACCAAACACGGACTGAGACACACAGCTGATTTCTGAGTTTTGCTCATGGACTGAATGCCTTGCTGAGTTTCCCGCTTGCTACCGAGTTCTCTAAGTCTGTGTGCGTGCACGCTTGCTGGTCTGCATGTCTGTCTGAGTGCTTGTCAGCTTGAGTGTGTGTGTGACCCGCAAGGGCACTTGTTCGTTCATTGGGCCTGAAGGGCCAGTACTTACCTGTGGCTGTGACATTGAGGATTGCAGCAGGGAAAACACTCAAGTGGCAGCGGAAAACACTCAAGTAGCAGGTAGGCCGGTGCCACACCATTTAGAGGTAGATGTGCCGGGTACTCGAGGCCGAGCAGAAGAAGACAGAAGTTGGCATTTCTAGAGGCCCAGTAGTTGTAGGCTAGGTCTAGGCGGGTACCAGTCCAACCAGTCTGAGTCTATGGCCTGTACGGGCAATATCAGAGTCTGCAATGATGTTTCCCTCCGAAAGGGAGGGCGTACCGGTTGCTTGGGAGGCCAAGCGGCCTGGAAGTCACCGCCCAAGAGGCAAGTAGGCCGCTATATCTCCAGGCTGAGCCAAGAGCTCAGCCTCATTGTCGGTGTGCAAGTTTGGCGACACACTGGTTGGAGCACTGGCTGGAGCAGCACTAGCAAGGAGCAGCGCTGCTGGGGAGGAGCAAGGACAGGAGGAGGAAGAAGATCAGGACTAGGAGGGAGGAGCGCCAGAGGTACTTACCTAGCTATGGTGGATGCCATCTTCATCACCTTGGTGGGCGCTGCAGCAGGAAGGCCCCAGTTGGGGAAGAGCTACACCAAGAAGCTTTGAGGCAGAGTCAGGCATGACGGCCTGAGCTAGAGCAGCCATAGCTGCTTTGTGTTGTCCTTTGGACATCAGGGCAAGGCCCTAGTAGTTCGCCATAGTCTCGGCCTTGGACGAAGGAGGAGGAAGGGTGGCCATGGCTATGGTGGACCTCATGTGATACCTGCAGTAGAAGAGGGATTCGGACATTGATTCTGGAACAGCCATTCAACATTATTATTACAAGTGGACCCCACCACCGCTACGCCATGGCGCACAGCAACACTCTCTGATGGCGACAGTTTGCTCATTCTATCGACGCAAGTAGCGCGCGGCGAGGCGCTGGGTTGGAGACTTATCGGCTCTCTCTCTCTCTCTCTCTCTCTCTCTCTCTCTCTCTCTCTCTCTCTCTCTCTCTCTCTCTCTCTCT